AGAAAGAATTGTTCCTACGATTTCCTTCTCGATCCTTCTTGTGAGGGTGCGTGAGTTGTGGTTATATCATGTGTGGAGTGTGTTGTGTAGGTAGGAATAGGTGACGTTACATGTTGTATGGGGTCAGGAAAAGTTTGTGTGCATTGTTGTGATAGTTTTAAGGTTTTGTATGGTGTAGTGTGCGTACGAATTGTGTGTTGCATTGTTGAATGGCTTGGTTGTGAATTGTGGTTTTATTTCTTTGGCTATTTTTCTTTTTCAGTGGCTGAAGGTTCTTTTGTGCAACCAAGGTTTTGTTGCAGGTGCTGCTGGTAATTCTTTGTTCATGTGAAGCTTGGCAAGGCAGAAGGAAGATTGGTGAAATATGGGGTTGGTGTTGCATGATGGTTCGTGGAAAAAAAATGCGTTATGGAAACAATTGAATGCTTGGTGTAAGGCTGCGTAAACACTAATGTATCAAAAAACAGAAAAATGCTTTTGGATCAAGTGGACTTTTAATGTTATTGATAATTTCTTTTTTTTTACATTGTATTTAGACTTTGGAATATCTATCTTGTAATGTTTTTGTTAATGGAATTTTGGGCTTTTATTTTTTTGCAATTGGTTTCTTATAAAATATGGGCTTTTTGTTGGAATTGTTTGTAATGAAGAAAAACTATTGGCCTATTTATGCTTTGCACTTGGCTTATGCTTTGTAAATTTTCACTTCCATGTATTTTGCTTAATCAACCTTAGAATCACAATGGAATTTGAAATAATAATGCCATACTTGAATCTAATCTTAGAACCACATTCAAATCAATTCCATCTTCATTGAATTCTTTACTAAAAAAAATATTTTAAATTGGATGAATTGAAGCTTTCCTGGTCACCTAAACAACCATAAACTATGATTTGAAACTACTTGACCTAAAAGCATCCTTTATTGAACCAACATGTCTATGCCTTGAACTTAGAGATCATGATTTGAAAAAACGAATCCAATCTGAACTTGTCTGAATCAATCCACAACTTGCACAGTTAAACTAATGTCGCTTTGATCGTGATGAACCAAAACTTAACTGTAAAATAATCATGCTTTGAAATCAGAGGGATTATGAATTAAGATATGATCTTTAAAATGTTTCACAAAACTCTAATCAAACCAAGAAGCCTGCTTTGGTATAATTTGAGAACATGATTCATTCACAGATAGCCTGAATTGTTATAGAATCCTGATTGGAGCCTCAAACACACATCACATAAATCTTGCATATCCTGGCCTAGCTCAATCCTTGTCTGACGAACAGATTAAGTCAAAACCAATAAATGGACTTCAACACATACTGCACTTATTCATGACTTGATGAACCTCAAATGAAACTTTTTGGATTTTTTGAATAACTGTTTGTGGATGAAATTACAGATGAAGGTCATACACAGATAGGACAAATTTGGGGTATGACAGGCACATGGACACTTTTGTACCATAGACATCACATGAGGACAGGGGGGATCGATGGCTGAGGATGTAGACCAGGCACATAAGGCACAGGAGGCACATGAGAGGTTGTCAGGAACACCCGGTAGTTGTTTGTATTTGTTTTGTTTCAATACTGTAGTTTGTACGTTTTTCCTGACATTGTTATTAAATTTTGGATTTACGTGATATATGATATCCTATTACTATATTGTTATATTATTTTTGTGTGCCTTTTATTTTATAATTCACCTGCGAACAAATATACAATGCGTTTTAAAAAAAAACTATTCTGAAACACTTCAGAGATGTATCTCCGAAAAAATTTCTATATATGCATCTCTAGACAAATTCAAATGGAAATTGGCTATGGGAAATATAATGTGACCGTTTAAGGTTTAAATTGCTCCGGAGGTATATCTTTGAAATATTATTATGCCATGGGGCACGTCTGGAGATATATCTCTAGAATCTGGGGGCACTTATGGAAAATCACATGGTGGGAAAGAAACTCATGGGGTGGGATAAAAAATCCACATTGTTTATTGCATCTTTAGTGTTGCTCAGGCACTATATTAAAAACTATAAAAAAAATATCAAATATAGAGATGTATTTTTTAACGCACTAAAAATTGACACTATAGTATTTGGTAAGTGAGTCACTTTTACTTTTTTATAAATTATTATGAAGATGTATTTTTGTAAAATTTATGGAAGTATACTTCCGAATTCATTGAGTTATATTATTGCGCCAGACATTCACATCTTTCTCATTTTCAACAAAACTTCCTCTACACACAAAAAAAGGTGCGTGAGAAACCCAAAATCTACCATTTTTAAACATTTTTCAAACTTTCTTCTGCATTATACCTAATCCAAGAGTTTCCACTTTTCACCTAATTTTCTTATTTCCCTCTTTTTTATTTTTGATGCATGATATTACTAAATAGGTTGTTTAAATTTAATTAGGTTGTAGTTACACTAATTTATTGAAGCATGCATTTACATTTAGAGCATAGGGCATGAGACGTTTATGCATTTTCTACCATTTTAGTGTTTCAAGAAAATATGAAAGTTTACTTTCGTAATTTTTCTGTATTTGATTTTCCTGAGTTATGGAAGTGCACTTGTCTGCATTTTTTTTATTCACATTTTTGTCATCTAGGTTTGATTTTGTTTACATTGTTTGATTTTGCATGTTCCTGAGGTTTTTAGAGGAGACTCATATGACATTTTACTACTACTGTCTTTATATGTAAACCATGTTTTAATGCACGTGTGTGATGAAGATGTAAAATAAATATATATTTAGTCTTTGAAATATATGTGTTATAATATTTGAACTTTCTAACTATGGCGTTTTTTTGTACCGTGATGCTTTAAATTGCATCAATTGCGGTAGAAAGAGTACGGAGTTGCAGCATCTTAAGGGGCAAAGGTTTCATGATGCCATGCAGATACCTGGGTTGCAAGATTTATGCATAAATGATTATACTATTATTAACCACGATGCACTAAACATAATGGTGACCTATTTGGGAGTTGATCCTAGTGATATCCAAAAGGAGATGGATGACATCATATGGTATTATGCTGGATTTGTATTTATGGATGACATGTACAAAAACCACCTGGTTGCGACAGTGGAGGCCGATGGTGATGATGCACAGGTTTTGCATCATAGAGCAATGTGCATTGAGGTCAAACCTCGTGTATTTGGTTGGCGCATCCATATTCATGGATAGAAGTGCTTATTATGTCAATGTGGTTTATCTTATATACTTCATTAACTTCGAGCAGATTCATAAGTACAATCGTGGGGTCATTTGTTTGATTTATCTGTACTTGAAGTTAAGTGAAGTTTGACTTTGAAAGACTAGACAAATAACAGCAAGTTGCACATTGTTTACGGTAATATATTTGCATATTTACTATTACTAATATTTTATAAGACTTATTATATGGCATTACTAATATTTCATCTGTATCATTTTTAGGCATGGATACTCCAGCGCTTTCCACGCATCTCCAATTGGTCACATGTGGATAACTACTTTGAGGATTTTCCAGGTGTTTGTGCATTCATCCCGCTTAGAAAGGATCAGACAACCGAGTCGTTCAAAGTGCATCTTGACTGCCCTGTGGCAGATAATATAGGCTACACATGTACGACGATCATCGTCATACGCACCCCTTATATGACATAGTCTTCTACTCTGTGTGGTTGGCTTGTGGGTCACGCCTGATTTATCCACATCTTATTGAGCAAGCCATGCGCTAGTTCGGGTTTCTACATGGAATTCTAAGAGACCCTGTTATGTTTGCTCCTCCCACTGTGGTCTACAGAGATGTTGATGTGATGTTTGATGATTTCTATAATTATATGGTACTAGAGAAAGCATGAAGTGTGTCAGCTTCCCAGTCATGGAGTAGTGTATTTAACTATACTCAATGGTATTTCAAAGTGTCACATCTGTACATGACATCAAATGCTCACGAATATCCACCTAGCTAGCTCATCGAGAGATATTAGAGAAGGAACATGTTAGAATAAATAATGTCGTTGATGTGTTGCCTGCATGACGTCCTATCATGGATATTGCGCGAGCAAGTATAGAAAGAGGAGAGTTTCTGAAAGGCACCTACGAGGGCTACTATGGAGGTCATTCTATCTGAGACACGAAATGTCATGCAATATAGGAGGTAAATAAGGAACAAGGGGTCAGATATACCCAACAATTCACCTTTATTTCTATTTTGATAATATTTGTTTTATAATTTGTAATTTGTCAACAAGGATGTTAGATTATGGATTCTAAATTGGCGGCTAACTTGTTATTACGGCTATTCAGAAAGAAGCAGAAGGAAATAGGCTTGGGACTTGTTACGTGAACTTCGTGATATGTGGATGTCACCTTGGTGCATAATAGAAGACTTTAATGACTTGTTATCACAATAAGATAAGTGTGATATTCATCCCAATCTGAACTAGTTATGTGCGGGTTTTCAAAATGCTATTGAAGAATGTGATCTTACTGACAATAGGTTAAAAGGTCACCCATTTACTTGGATTAATAGTAGGGGTGCCTCTCGTGCAGTGGAAGAAATACTCGATAGAGCTATGAGTAATACCGAGTGGTTATCTATGTTCCCAAATCTTCGGCTTCGTAATCTGATAACTTCTCATTAAAACCATACTCTGATTCTGCTTCAGTGTGGTCAGGTATAGAGGAGTTGCCACACTTACTCTTTTAAATTCAAGAATAGATGGTTGTTAGAAGATGAGATTGATGATGTATTTAATACAGGGTGGGATCCAAAACGAGAATGCAAAAGATTGAGGGTGGTGCAGAGGAACTGAAGAGATGAAGTAAGTTAAACCATAGGAATCTGAATGAAGAAATTAAGGAGAGTGAGAAGGAAATAGAGCATTTTTGTAACTGTCATGACCAAGAAGCAGTAGACATATTTTTCGAGGCGCAACAACGGTATCAAAAAAGCTATTATTCAAGAGGAAGCTTATTGGAAGCAACGAGCTAAAATGCATTGGCTAAAGGAAGGTAACCTAAATACGAAGTTCTTCCATATGTCTGCTACGGCGAGGAAAAAGTTTAAAAATTGGGGGGATGCTGAATGATAACTAGGAGGAGATTAGAGATCAGACTAGTCTATGTGAATTGGCTAAGGAATACTTCAGTAATTTGTTCTCTTTGAAAGAAAGTAACCATGAACCTGTTTTATCTCTTATTCATCAGAGGGTAACAGAGAGTGATAATGAGAAACTGTTGGTGCCGATTAGGAAGAAGGAGTTGTTAGAAGCTTTGAAGCAAATGCATTTGGATAAATCTACAAGACCAGATGGTTTTAATCTGGATTTCTACCAACGTTTATGGGGTATGTGTGGGGATGATATTTATAATACGGTTACCAACTGGATTGAAAGAGGTTTCTCCCTTTCAACCCTCAATGATATTAATATTTGTTTTATTCTGAAGTGTGAGAATCCTCGATCTATGAAGGATATGCGACCGATTTCTTTGTGCAATGTGGTTTATAAATTGGTGCCCAAGCTACTAGGAAATAGGATGAAGGAATGCTTACCAAATTTTGTATTGGAGGAACAATCGGCTTTTGTGGAAGGCAGGTCGATTCTTGATAACGCAATGATTGCTATTGAAATTATGTGTTCCTTTAAGAGGAAAACAAGAGGAAATAAAGGTCGGATGGGCTTTATTGACAAATGGATTCATTGGGCAATGATGTGTGTGACATCAATACATTACTCTATATTGGTTAATTGAGATACATTCGGACCAATTCATACAGGGAGTGGATTGAGACAAGGAGACCCGTTTTTGCCATATCTATTTATACTTATAGCAGAAGGACTTTCAGTGCTCATCAAAGGAGAAGTGGCCAGAGGAAACATACATGGCATTCAGATATGTATAGAGGAACCCATGGTGTCCCATCTATTTTTTGCTGATGATTGTTTTCCTTTTTATAGGGCTAGCCTATTGGAGGCTAGGAATCTCATAGAGATTCTTCGAGTTTATGCAGAAGCATCAGGTCAAGAAATTAACTTGACCAAGTCGGAGGTGCTCTTTAGTTGTAACATTAGTAGACCGGATCAAGAATATCTCTCTCGTCTAATGGGTGTACAACATGTGCTTGGAATAAGGACTCACTTGGGGCTGCCATCTATGATTGGTAGAGGCAAAAAGGAAACTTTTTCTTTCATTAGGAAACGTATTCGAAAGAGAATTAACTCATGGATTGGGTGATTTTTGTCCAAGGTAGGAAAAGAGGTCATGATCAAATTAGTTCTGCAAGCTATTCCATCTTATGTGATGTGTCACTTTATCCTACATAATTCGACAGTGAAGAATGTTGAGAAATGATGAATTCATTTTGGTGGGTGGAGGTAGATAATAAGAGGATTAGATGGTTGGCGTGGGATAGATTGACTTGTCCAAATAATGAAGGTAGTATAGGATTTCAGGATTTCATAGCTTTTAATATGGATATGGTGGAGAAGCAAGGATGACACATCATAATGCAACCGAATACTATGATAGCTAGATTCCTCAATGCTAAGTACTTCCCTGGCTCTTCATTTTTTTAGGCTAGTCTTGGGTAATAATCCTAGCTATTTTTTATCCAGGGGTGTCGTTGGAGAATATTATGGAAGTAAAATTAATATTATGGTTGTGCCTTAGTTAAAAAAGTGAGGGAAAGTGTTGAGTGAGTGCACCACAAAGCCAATACGCGTACACTACGAAAGTGGCAGATCTTATGTTTGCGAATGATAAACGGTGGGATGTTCAGAGAACTAAATAGTTGTTTAATCATTATGTGGTTGTGAAAATTGAGAAAGTTCCCATTTATAAAGATGTTACAGAGGACTGGTTAGTGTGGAGAGAAGAGCATGGTGGTGTTAGAACAAGATTTGTTCTTGACATATTCTCTTTTAGTTTTAATGATAACAAAAATATTAAAAGAGTAATGGTTTATTTGATGTGTGTTTTAATTATGCAGGTTCTCGTTCTTGTACATAAGTAATCAGAATCTGTTTTACTTAAGATACATTTGGAGTTGCTTCATTGCTTGCTTCTGGTAGCTTCTGGTGGCAGAGCCTGAAGAACAATTGCTAGTGTGGTTTGACGAAGACTTTGAACCGAAGGCCTCAGCATTCAGACGAGTTTCTACACTTAGTAATTGTATATCAGCATCTGGTACCATTCAAAGATGGTTTATTAGTCTGTCAGCTCGAGTCTACAAGATTGCAAGGCTCAAGTAAAGCTTGTACGTTTTATGGATGTTTGCTCCGAACGACTCTATTAGTATAAAACCTCTTGAAGACTCAAAGGTTAAACGTGTTACACATCGGACTCAAAATCTGTTGTGCATCCATCTTCAACGTCTCTTGTAATATGGAGCAAAAGAAAATACACTAGATCAAGTCACCTTCTCAACGACTAGTTTATGGAAATGCTATATACATGGTTGTAGATTCAAGCTTGAATTTTAACAAGGATTCTTTTGTTAGAGGGGTAGCAAGATCAAGCAATTATCAACTTTATGTAATATGCAAATTTTGTGTTTTAGTTTGTAATTGTAAAAGCCTTAAGATTTCTTACCCATGTACATATTTAGAAACCTTAAGTGCTTTAGGTCTTTGTTATAGTGATCTCTCGTACCTCTGATGCTTGCATCATGTACACATTGTTCTCTATTATGTTGAGCCTTCAGTAGTTTAGATTAAGTCTCCTAATATGTGATTGAGTAAAAAGTCTTGTCTCATTGGGATTCAAACAACAAGTCTTGATCCAAGATGCTTAAGCCACGTAAGTCTCATTGCTTAAGTGCTTGAGCTGTGAAAGTATTATTCAGCTAGTCTGGTTAAACAAGGGAAGTCTCAGTCTGGATGGCCATAAGAGAAGGAGGCCCGGCCAGAGGATGTGAGAAAAGGAAGTCTTATACATGTACTCTAAGTAAAGGTAAGTCTCAACCAGAAGACATACGAGCAGGCGGATTAGTCATATGGTGTGAGCAAAGTGTAAATCTTAGACATGTGCTCGAAGCAGAGGGAAGTATCAACCAGAAGACAGATGAGCAGGCGGCTTAGTCAGATGGTGTGAGAAAAGGTTAAGTCTTAGACATGTGCTATAAGCAAGGGAAGTCTCAGACAATTGGTCTGAGCAGTTGTAAAAGTCTTATGCAGAAGCATAAGCAATTATAATCATAAAGTGGGTATAATGAAAAACTCTTGTGAGACAAGGGGACTGGACTACTCTTAGTTAGAGGAGGAACCAATATAAATCTTTTGTGTCTTCTACTGTTATTTTATTTACTTCTGTTGTATCCGCTGCCAAAAGAATTGACTCAGAATCTGAACATCAGTTCTGATTCTGAAACTCTGAATAGAAGCTAAATAATAAGAAAACATGAAACACAATTCAACTCCCTTTTCTTGTGTACTTTTCACACCTTCAATTGGTATCAGATCATGGTTTGTGCTTCACACTTAACAGTGGTGCAGATATTGATCCAATAAGAAAAGTATATTTCTTCAAGAAGGAATCAAGTGCCACAAGAAAAATATCATACGACTTTTCCTATCGTATTCAAACGGGTGATCCCATTGAATTTAAATGATGGAAAAATTGAACATATTTTTAACTCATTAGACTTGATAAAGGGTTGTTGAAGGTCTATAGAATATCCTTGAAAATGTATTACTATAAAAGTTGATGGTGTTAAAGATGATCATCTTGAAAATCTCTTTCACTAACTCAGAAGATGCATATTGAATATCTTCAGAGGTAGTTGCACTCTGGTAGATGCACTATCTCACTTCTGAGTATATCAATATCATTGATATGTATGATGCTTGGACTATCTTTGAAGTCTTGTGTTTGGGTTTGTGTGGATCAATTTTTGAAGCTTGAAGTAGTTACACTTCATCTAATCTTTTCAAGCAAATTCTGAGAAGATTGTTCCTCGAGTTAAATCTAAAGTAACAGTTTTGTTTTATGTTTACATATTGAATCTACTGTGTTCTAAAGGTTTGCCTTGCAGTCTTCAAAGGAAAGAAATGAAGTTGGATGATGAAAAACTATTCAACAGGTCACCTTCTCTTTTTAGCTTAATTTCTTTGGAATGACTAATGATGATAAACTTAGGTTTCTTGTCAAAAGGACTTCCATATTGGCTTAATGGATTGTGATATCTGTTGATAGAAGTGTAACTTCAAAGAGCTTTTGAAATATTTGTATTTCAACTTATTTCCCAAATCTTAAAGCAAGAAGGAAAATTCTACCAGAACCTAATATCAGATGCTCTTCAATGTTTAATCATTTGAAGTTGATATTAGTGCAGGATGCAAATGAAAATAATCATTTGTATTCTAAAATAAAAAAAATCAAGTATTGGAAAGCAAGAGATGTTGTTAAAGTTATCTTGTTTCAAAATATTTGATTATATGGAGTTGGTTCTTTAAGGTGATATCTTAAGAAACTATATTGCGTCTTGGTTGAGGACCATCATGGAAGTTGTTTTAAAAGGCATTTCTATGAGAAATCTTCAACTTCTCTTTGAGCTATGTTAGTCATACTAAGACTGTACTCTGATCTGCTTTATGTTAATCTCTGATAGCTAACACCATTTGGTTCTGAGCTTGTCAATGATTTCAAAGTAAAAAGATTTAGTCCAAGATAATGAGATTATTGACATTGCTTAGAACAATACTTTGTTCCTATCATATCTCATTCTAGACACATACTTTAGAGTGACTTATGATCTGATGTTAGATTGAGATGTAAGGCACAGAAGAGTCTGTTTGTACTTACATGTATGGTCTTATAGAAATATGAGTATCATAATGTATCTGTTATAGATATCAAGGAAAGAAGCAGAGGCATCTTCCATAAGTGGAATCAGTGGTTAAACAACCATTGAATTAGAATCCACTCAAAGTTGTGTCCAGGCTCTATTGGTCAAGTCTGATTATTGAATCGAGTCTGGCCAAACAAAACAAAATAAAATATGGTATGTTTTTTCTTTTCTGGCTTATGTTTTGATTCAATGAAGCATTTGTTTAGATATAAATACAAAGTTTCTATTAGATCTCTAGATAATTTCTTTTGAAAAAGAGAACTTCAGAAATCTTTAAGAAGATACTTTGTTGTGTTTGTCTATACTAAATGTCTTATAAAGCTAGATGATGATCACATTTATGAAAACAATTTTCTCACTTTTGTGTTGATATTGTTGCTCGTTTGCTATCTAAAGAAAACAATTAAATATTTATCTAACACTCATGACTCTTGTTTCAAGACAAACTGCTAGTTCTTAATAGAATCTTAGAGACTTGTGACTGACAGATTATACCGCTGTCTAAGTCTAGACTTACTATACTCTGATGGTTGATATCTTCTGAAAGTTGTTAGCTTCTGAGATTCATAAGAAGATTCTTTTTTACTGTCATAGCAGTTTAAGTAAAAAAGTTTTCTGAAAGATTTTATGATACTTAACCTTTCATAAAGGTAAAACTCATCTGGTGGAATTGAAATATCTACTGGATAAAGAACCTTTGGATAATTATGGTTTCTCTTTTAGTACTTGTTGTTACTATTCCATGTTCTGTGAAACATCATTATATCTTTTTTCTGACAAGATTCTTATTTCTGCAAGATTCTTGTTCAGTTTCTTTTATTTCTTCTTCTTCTTCTTTTTCTTCTTTTCCTCTTGTTTGTGTGCTGACCAAACCAAACTTTAGATGAGTTCTTTAGTTTGTTCTCCTTTAAATCAGTTGGTTGTCATCAATGAAGAGTTTGTGGATTTTGATGAGTTGCTTAAGATTGGTTTCAACTTCTAGGAGACTGTGTCTAAACAAAGGTGGAATGGCTGCTTTGAGATGCTCTGCGGTTTCACTTATGCAAATCTTATCAAAGAGTTTTGGATCAATGCCTCAATTGTTGAGCTGGATTCTGAGTATGTTATTTTGTCTAAAGTAACTGGTGTTTCTATTAGAGTAACCTCTTAAGCGATTGCAAATATAATCAATTATGAGGAGATTGGAGAAATCCCATGAAATCTTGTTTGGGAACACCATCTTCCTACTTGGCATATCTTTTTAGATCCATCTAATACATCAATGGTTTCTAATCTTCTTCCAGGTGATGTTATTTAGATTCAGATTCTGAATTCAAACTTACTGCCTAAGGATAGAGATTTAGACCAAGTGGATCCTATTAAAAAAGATTTGTTTCTACTTCTCAAT